AGAGAGAGAGAGAGAGAGAGAGAGAGAGAGAGAGAGAGAGAGAGAGACATGTAAGAAGCCAAAGAATCCGGTGGCCCATGGTGAAACATAAAGCCGAAGTCAAAGCCGAACCAAGTGAATTGGCTGGCAGGTGAGAGAGCGAGACTGTTGCGCTTCAGTAAGGTAGATAGTGTGTGTGTTTCCATATGCTGATGTTCATCGCCGTCGTCGTAGTCTTCGTCGTCGTAGCTGTTTTGTGATCGTCATCGTCGCTGTTGTCGTGGTTGTGGTTGCTGCTCGAAAACGGTTGTGCCGTGGCTGTGCGTGTGTGTACAGTGCGCGCACTTGAATTTGAATTTAGTGGGGCAAAGTCGCAGAAGCATTGGATCAAGTATCCATGTATAAATATGGTTGTACGTTCTACAAATCGTATCATATCATCCTTCCTAGTTGATTCAACATCACAGTTTGACTTTTTTTTTTCATTGATTCGTATTTTTTTGGTTTTCCATCCAAATTTTTTTGTTGTTTTCTCGTTTGGTTAGTTCGTTGTCACGAGATAAATTTGGTGTTTCCAATTCTGTTGCTGCGAGAAAAAAACAACAACCAACTCCAGTATTGTTCGGTTTTATTTTCGCAATAAATAAAACCGGGAATAGAAAAATTGTGTGAATAAAGTTTTGAATTAAAAAAAAAAACAAACAAACCGAAACAACACGATGGCATTAGGAAAAGTATTTGGAATATTGTGTGGAATTGCGTTGGTGTCAGCGTTGCCAGCCGAGGAAATTCGCGGCCAATCGAGAAATACCGTTGGTGGCGACAGTGATTTAATGGAGAGTATTTATACGGATTGTCTGCGCAAGGATTCAGTGTCATGTGTGAAATATAAGCTGTTCTCATTTGTGGATAAAATGCTCGATCAAAGAGACACATTTGCTCTGACCGAAGGAGTGACGGTGATTAAAACCGATAAACCAGCCGATGGTGGTGCACCACGTGCTCTAACTGGTGACGAATCGATTGAATCGTTGATCTTCAGCCGGGTACAGAATTTCTTGCAATCGCACACCGTCAAAGTTGAATTGAAAGGTGCTGATGTTGTGAATGCCGTTTCATCGACTGGTCGAGCCCTCGAGGATGTGTCTGACAGTATGTTTGGCGGTGAAAATGATGTGAACGAAGCTCGTGGTAAAAAGAAGAAAGCAGCCAAAATCATCGGTCCACTTTTGTTGGCTCTCGGTCTGAAAGCAGCCGCATTGTTGCCACTCGTTTTGGGTGCGATCGCACTGATTGCTGGCAAAGCATTGTTAGTCGGTAAAATTGCGTTGGTATTGTCGGCCATTATCGGTTTGAAGAAGTTGTTGTCACAAGAGAAGCATGTCACTTATGAGGTCGTTGCTCATCCACATCACTCATCCAGCCATTCGGCAAGTCATGGTGAAGCCTATTCAGTTGGTGCATCGAACATTGATGTTAGCGGTTATGCAGCCGGTGCGGGTACTGGACACGGTGGCTGGGGACGAAGCGTTGACGCACAGGATTTGGCATACCGAGGACAAAAAACTGAGTAAATTTATCATAAAAACTCTTTCAAATTGCCCCCTTTAAATACGAACACAAGAGATTCATTCACATATAGAGATTCAAAGAACTTACTATGACTCATTCACACACACACACACACACTCATGCGGAACAGACTTACACTCAGAAACACACACACACACACAGGTTAAGTAAGAGCACAGATAAGATTTGTTAAGGAGCTTATAAATTTAAACAAAACAACAACAAAACGATCAGGGTTCTTTTTTTGTAAAAATATCGAATCCTTACTTTACCTTATTTTAGTTCATAATAGATGTTTAATTGATGCGGAAATGGAAAACATTGAAAACTAGAAAGCACACACACACACAAATAGAAACATCCAGATTCCAAAAAGCTAAGAAAAGTTTTTCATAAGATTTTCTTTCATTACTGCCGTTAGTACCGAAAACAATACTCGAATTTGTTTAACGCTTAGTTTATTCTAATTCTTTTTTTTTGCTAAATATTTCTCTGCTTCTTGATTTTTCCGATATTTTAAAATCAATTTTTATTGTTATGTTAAAGTTTTCCAATTTGTTTCATAATTTCTGTTCAATTATTTATCTTATGAGAGAGAAACGAAAAAAAAGTAATTTAATGCTATTTATTTAATTTATTTATTTAACGAAAAAGATCAGTTAACTTATTCAAGAAGATGCAAATTGCGCAAAAGCAACGAAAAAATGTAACAAAAAAAAATGTAACGAAGAATGATGGGAACAAACAAAAATAACGAAATTATATCGAAACAAAGAATGGGAGCATGCAAATGCGCAATGCTTTCCGATTGAAACCATTCAAATTGGCAGTTTTGTCGTTAGTGTTCCAATTTTGTTTTTTTTTTTTATAGAACGAACCGAAAAAAGAAAAAAACGTTTAGCACACAGAATTTCAACACACATAGCACTAAAACATACCAACAAACACACAAGCACACACACAGAACACATACACCTCATAACACGCATCGCAACCACATTGCAGTCAAAGTGACATAAGTTACACAATATACACACTCGGGCACATGATGATCATAAACATGAGATATATTTACATTTACGTTATGTGGACTGACCTCTTTCTTGCTATAGGCTTTTTATCGCTCAGATTTCATCTCAATCTTCTCTCTATCAATTTCTGTACTTTTTTCCTTCTCTTAGCTCTCGCTTGCATGTACATCTTACTTGCATGCTCTTCTCTTTCTATTCTATATATCATTTACGGTTGCTTTTTCTTCTTCTTCTTCTTCTTCATCAAAACCGTTTTTCTGTTCTTTTTTTCTTCTTTACTTTTCATAATCTGACTGTTTTCTTTATTTCAATGATCTTTCTTATCTTTTTGCCACACCAAAAATGCTGGAATTTATTTTATGTTCTGTTCAGATTTAAATTAGCCAATTTCATGTCGTTTATACACACAAAATTGTCGAAATTATTGTCCCAAATTTTCCAAATTGCATCCTATGTTGATAAATTTTGTTTTGAATTTTTTTTTATTTGCCATAAATCGCCATAGTCACTATTTCACTTCTTATTTAAGCGTATCTTTCGTTAAAAATGAGAAAAAATGGAATTTTTGTTGTTGTTCTGTATTCGAAATAAAAAAAAAAACCAATCTGAGGAAAGAAATGAACTAAATATATGGAATCAAAAATGTAAGATTAAAAAAAACACTTTTCTTTTGTTTTCTATCTTTGGCTCTATTACTATAATTTCCTGTCTCTTTCTTTATGTTTCTGACCCAATCATTGTCAATCATTGTCAATCACGCAGCGAAATTCGATTGCCACTCAGACATTGCACTTGAACATCAAACGGATCAATACAAAAAGACACATTTAACATCATCCACCTACATCGCAACACACAAAACACACACATATTTTACACACTTTACACACTTTACTCATTACATACATACAACAAACACACTACACAACAACAACAAAACGTGAAAAAAAAACTCAAAAACCAATCGAAACACATTTTTCACATATAAATACATTGACTATAACGAGCATCGGATTAGACAAAAAAAAAGAGTCATCATAAAAAGCGAAATGGCAAGAAAAACAAAAGTCGAAAATCGACACAAAGTCGAAAGCAAAGCAATTTAAGCGTGGCCAATGGAGACAGAATAATTTATGATCCATTGGCACATGTCCAGTTTATGTTGGATACGTTCTGTATTTTCTCTCTCCAAAGAGATTAAGTTTTCGCTTTAGCAGCTCGATTTTCCCCCCGAAAGCGAATTTCTAAGATGAAATCTATCAAAAATTGTTTGCAATTCATTTGTTTGCATTGTTTGGTCGATTCCATCTTCATTTTGTTTTCATTTGCTTTTCTTTTCATCTTTATTTTAATCAAGACAATTTAAAATTGACACGATCACATTTTGCATCAACAAACAACATTAAAAGCACACTTCTGAAATTCAGAGAAACATTGACACACGAACATTTGAACTCTCACTTGTCATTGCATCCGACACGAGAGAGATGAACAATGACAATAACACAACACAGCACACAGAGAAAAAAAAACGTTTTTTTGCTTTTATGGCTTGTTTTGGGAAAATGAAATTGAAAACACGCGTAACCACCAACAATAGGCGCGAAATTCATTTTGGCAAACAGAAGAAGCAAGGAAAGAAAACTGAACGAAGACAAACAATGTGAAACACGGCGACAAAATCTGTAAACAATGTGAATGCGACATCGGATGGAGGCCGGCATTTGGCCAAATGCACATAAGCTTTGTTTGTCTTGACAACACAAATTTAGCTTGAACAAACATCACCATGATTTGCATTCGCAAAAATGGATGAAAAAAGTAGAAAAAAATGACAAATTGTACAGACTAAAAAAATATCAAGAATTTACATCATTATGGTAGTATTATTATGATAATAATTTGCCCGATTTAGTATTCTCTTTTTGTGTGTTGGTAAGATAAAGGAATGAAAGTAAGCAGAAAAAAAAACAAACAAATTGTCTTTTAGTAAGTGAATTAAAGTGCGACAACATCAGATATCGATGCTATACAAGATAAACGCGTATCTGTACATGATGTTGTGTGTACTTTAGTTTTCCCGCTCCTCGCTTCGGGCCACTATTAGGATTGTTATTGTCATAATGAAGAAACAGAAAATTGTTTTAAGTAAACTGAGGCCAAACTAAGCACAAAAAATCTTTTAAGAAAAAAAACAAGCAGAATAAAATCGCAATAAATATCTTTTTTTCTTTTATTCAATTGTAATTGTGTGACGTTTATATTTCTTTTTCCCCCGAAAAATTTTTTTGTGGGAGATTTTCGTCGTATGCTTCTATCGCAAAAGAAAGAAAAAAAATTTCTCCGTTTTTTATTTCATTTGATGAAATGATTGGCCAGTGGCAATGGTGCGACGACAGCAGCGACGGCAATGGTAATCAAACATCAAGTGCGGTCTCTTTTCGCATTATTTCTGTTGTGTGTTATTTATTTTCTTCGAAACTGTGTGAAAATGGCAAAAATAATGATAATTCAAAACGAAGCGGGAAAATTGCCCATGAAAGAGCTATCCGATAATGACGAAGATCTGTGCGCAGCGATAATTTTTTTCGATTTTTCTTTCATTTAATTGTTTGTTTTCTATTTCTGTCTGCTAAACCGATGAGCCACTTGAAAATAGTTGAATGGCAAGTACGAAGCACCCAACCAAGTTAATTTCATTTTTTTCTGGAGAAAATGGGTGCTCATTTCATTGAAAGCGGTACGTGTCTAAATCTTCGTCGAGCCATTTGGTCATTCAACGAACTTTTTGGTCAACGACTGTTGTTTTTCGCATTCTTTACACCTTAATTTTTGCTGTCGAAAATGGAATGACCTTTTTACGTTTCAGAAATTTTCTGCCTTTCTTGACCATAGCAACGAAGTGGAAAAAAAAACGTGAGTTTTATCCACGACGGAAAGAACATTTAAACGCTTTCGGTTAAAACGATGAGTACTATCATTTTCGTTAGATCAGCTTCTTCCTAAAACTACGATCCGCACATCTACTGGATAACATTCGATAGGTTTGGAAAAATTATTCAAACTCAATGGAAAAAAGCGCGCACACCGTGTTGCTATTCGAAAAAAAAGAATACAAGAAATACGATGCCAAGGTAATTATCGGTGATTGCACGTGCGCAACACACTTCTAGTGTGTAAAAAACGCGTCGATGTAGGCCATGAGAGCACTGGACTTTTCGTACGTCATATTTATCGTAAGGTATGTACTGATCGACTGCTATTTTTTTCTTCTTCCGATATCTAAGCAAGAAGTTTTCTTGTCTAAGCCACTGCGCTTAAGGTAGGTATATTTCCATTAGATTTCAATTCTATCGCGTTATATGCAAAATCATGGATACCATCACAATAGCCAGCTAACAACCAAACAAAGAACAACACTATATTCAATTTTGGTGGGTTTTAATGTCGAAATTGAAAAAGAATCAAACAATTCTAGAACATTGTAGACCATACACACCGAAAGTATATATGTTACGCTAAAAAATAAAAAAACAACCGAGGAACACAATCCAGAAACAAGAACAGAGAACACACACAGTGTACAATGTTCGCAGTGCGCACACAAGTTGCTTGTTCGTTGCCTGTTTTTAGCACTACATGAAATGTAGAGCTACTAATCTGCTTATTTTTTTTTTCTCGGTCAAGTTTGACTACTCAAACAAATGTTGGTGAATTTGAATTATATGCTCATATTCTTTATTTGATTTAAAACCGGTGCACTAATGAAGATTTAATATATAACACTTCATATATACATAAAAGATTGACATACATTTTTTTTATTTTTCCAAACTATATTTTATCATACATTTTATTTGTTTCTTATATATTACTTCAAAGTTACTTTGATGAAATACATTTCATGTAGTGCGCCAAAAAATAGTTTGTTGTAAAACAACAAAATAGATTAAGTAACTAAAAACTCAAGAACGCAGAGCGGAGCGAAGCAAAGCTCTGCGGTCTTGTTTCTTCTTCGTCTTCTTGTTTAGTGTGTTTATTTCATCACGTTTCCAATTTACTTCCATTTGGCTCAATTCCAAAAATGGAATACGGTGCGCTTGCACACAAATCAACATTCGCCCGAGTGAGTATGTAGTGCGTAAAGAATAAACAAGACCAAAACCCTATATGTAGTTTGACCATATCATTCCGGGCGATAACATACGATTTCACGTCGACTTGAACGGTTTCCTCAAGATAGATGTTTTCAATAGGCAAGGTAAGCGCAGTGCTGGCAACGGACCAAACACACACATTTCACATTCGAAATCCGAGAAACGATCAACATCATGGTAATTTGTATCTCCAAGGCCTACTTTAATCATTTCGAAAATGAGCCTGATGCGATGTCAAAGAATAAAGTTCACGTTGTCCATTTATCATGTTTTCGTTGTCAAATGACACGTCATTAGCTAATTCTTCTACATTTTTATTCGCTTTAAAATAGCGGTATCGCTCCATGCAACTCATGCTCATATGTGTTGCACTTAATTTACGGTATATTTTCAGTTGTTGTTGTTGAAATCATTAGGTTTGCTATTTATCAGAACTTCATTTGAATGCGTTTCTCGCTTCTAGATATAAGCATTCGACGCGATCTCTTTCAACTTCCATAAGTTCGACATAATGGTTTGCGTCTATGCGTTTTGAATTGAATCGATCCACTTTCATGTGTTCTTCTTCTCTACATCTTCTTGCTGATGCTGTTGTACTGTAGCTTCTTTTCCCGTTCCGTACTCATGCAATTCTGCATTTGATTCCCAGTGATATGTGCAGATTTATGCTTAATTACATCAATATATCATCATCATCATTATCCATATACCGGCGCGATTCATGTAATAATAATGATGGCATCGCTATAATCATACAATGTATTGCGTACACAACATCAAGCACTCTTTATGCATTTGTACGCGATGTTCATTCTGCCAGCAAACCGAATTTTGTTGTTGTTTGCCAGCCTTCGAATTTTTGTATATACGATTTGCTTTGAATGCGTTGTTTTGTCGAATGTTGAATGGAATAAAGCATATAAAATGCGCATATGAAAGAAATAAATGCGCTGAAAACGAAGAGAATTTAAGATGGTTTTGAGCGAAGAAAAAATAACGATCATAATAATTAAAAAAGAATTTCGGTTTGGGATTTTTTGTTTGTCGTTCGGTTTTTGGCTTATGAGGAAATGAGATCACGTGTGCATAAGATGGAAATACATTCATTTTCAGCAAATTGCATTGACACCTTTCCAAGGTTCAACTTTCTTTCAGATTGATCTTAATTCTGACAAATGATCTGCTGCGATCACCATCATCGTCATGATCGTCGTCGTCGTGATCGGAAACGCGCTTTTAAAACATAACATTTGCTGAAATATACCGGCGAGCCGTGAACGTGGCTCTAGAACAAGTTCGGTTGGTTTTTTGAACGAAAGAACGTTTGTTTGTTTTACGATCGAGAGAAAATTGGTCAGTCCGATTGAGTAGTTTGTTGTGGTCGACTAGAAAGTTTGACTCAACCAATTACTTAAAATAACCCACGCAACGGTGGTATCGATTTAAGTGTAATTGCCACAT